ATTGCTGAAATAAAAGTATATTTCTAAGACTTAATCCTTCTCTGCCCCTGCTTTTTACCTTTCTTATTGACTTTTTCATTTTTAATTTCTCCTTTTTTTCAATGTTAAATACCAACTATTTGCTCCACTCTCCTCTTCATGGGTGATCCCAGGGTCATGTTGACTTGGGCAAGGCAAAGTTAGTTTACTAACAAACTTGCCCTTCTGAACTAATAGCTAAAGATTAGGATGACGTCTACACATCAGTCTGATGAACATTCTTAGGAGCAAATCGCTGGGGCAAATTTTGAAGATGACAAAATCATAAGGCCTCTGCTCATCCCTCCCTTCTCTCATTCTTTTAAAGGATTCTTTAAAAGGATGAAAGGCCAGTGATCATTCTGACAAGCCCCTGGGAAAATGGTTAATTGCCACATCCTCCTTTTTAACACGCTTAAGAGGGAAAAAACCTTTACTGCCCTAGCTCCCTCTTTTCAACAATATTTTTTTTTAAAGAGAGAAATTTGTTAAGTCTGAAGATGGCTGCATGTTGTGCTTCATTTTTCAGGATGCTCAAATCAGCTTTAAATATATTTTATTTGATGAAGAGCCCACCTCTGATTTCTTTCAGGAGGCAGAACATCAATCTAGTTAAGAGCAGTTAATATCACAAGGTTTAAAAAGGAAAGAAAGAAAAAGAATTTAATCCCTCCTTAGTCTTTTAAAAGAGACTCATGGGGAGACTTACTGGAAACCTGGAGACAAACACTCCCTGAGCATTTTGTCAACAACTAGAGAACAACTTCATTTTGAAATATAATGTTTGAAAATTATGTCTTCCTTAACTGCCAAGACTGAGTTTGGTTCCTGGATTCATTTCCTTTGTGAGGACACATGACATCACTTTCCTGAAAGCTTTTTATAATGCTCCCTGGACTGCACCAAATTTCTCGGATGTTACCAAGCCTTTACAGATAAATCTAGTACAGCAAATTAGAAATTTTAGATGTAGACAGTAAAGAAATCTCTCTCCCCAAATTTGAAACTTGTGTATCTATGGAGATACTTTGATAATGATTTTTAAATAGAGCTGGGTCTGTAAAATCTCTATAGTTAACCTTGAAAGTGATGGGTTACAGCTGTATCATTATGCAATGGTATAAAGTTATTTTTCAAAAGTTGGGATGGTACAAATATTTATAAAAAAATAAATGTTAAGGTAAGGCGACCTGTTTTGTTTTCAAAGCAGGTTAAAAAAAATCCTTTGATACTATTTTCTCATCTACAGTTTCATTTTTACTAAAAGTAAAATTATTTTGCTCAAGTGATATTACAGGGAAGATAGTTCATTGCTGCCCTTAGTTTGATTTGCTTCACTCTTATTGCAAACAAATAGATTTATTATATGGTTCAGCCTAACAAAATAGCAAATAAAACCAGACAAAAAGCTTTTTCCCAATTTGGTAACTTAACTCATTTCTTTGAGAATTTTTTACAGCTAATAATAATTGGAAATGGTCCAGAAATTCAGACATGTGGGAAATTGTTTTTGTAAATAGATGAAGCTGTGTATTGGTGCTGTACAGAGCAGTGGTTCTCAATCAAACTGTACTGTGTAGCAGATTTCTAGAGGACTTGTTAAAATACTTTGCTGGGCTCGATCCCAGAGTTTCTGATTCAACTGGTCTACAGTAGAACCTGAGAATTTTAATTTCTAAGACATTCCCAGGTGATATTGCTGGGCCACTGATTCAGGGATCATTGTTTGAGAACCACTAATGTAGAGCAACTGAAAACAAGCTTCAGTGTCTCTTTTCCATATCTTAACTGGGTATGTTTCACATTTGTTTCCCAGGCTTATGTCATTCCCAAAGTGTGAAGCACAACAAAGATTTTCTGACTACATCCCCTTCTACTCTCTCTGTCCAGAGTTCAATGACCTTCACATTCTCCCCCTTCAAAGATCCCCTTTCCCAAGGCTGGAGAGTAAATGCCTAATGCTCCAAGAGAGCGGTTTCTCAAATAGTGCTCATCAGCACATGTGTCCCTCAATATGTTCATATACATCCTGTGATGAAGCCATTCTATGGTCAAAATATTTTGGGATACACTGGTTTAACTGGAAAGAAAATTACTTTCCAGCTCAGAACTTCTCAGAGTTTTTAATATGCAAATGTATGTGGTGAATTTCCCAAAGGGAGATGAAGTATGTGGCATTTCCCAAGTGGATTTGATCTTGGAATTCTTCTTCAACCCTCTCTCTCATCATGTGCTAGGGAATATTTATTAACCATAGTTCGGGAAATTCTTAAGTAATTTTATAATTTATTTTACAAGGTTAAAAAAGTCTATAGTACAACTCAGGAGAAAAGCCAACTTAGCATGCCAAAAACAATATGGGCAAATTTTAAATCAGTTTAGAAGAGTAACTAAATAAATGTACTCATTATTTTGATTGTGCGTGACTTTTTCTTTTTTTAAAATTGTGATAAGATCAGATAACATTTAAGTGTACGTTTCAATATTGTTAACTATAGGCACAGTGTTGTACAGCAGATCTCTAGAATTTATACATCTTGCACAACTGAAACCTTATACCTGTTGAACATCAACTCCCCATTTCTCTCACTCCTCAGCCCCTAGCACTCGCCCTTCTACTTTCTGCTTCTGAGTTTGATTGTTTGGGATACTTCATATAAATGGAATCATGCTGTATTTGTCTTCTGTGATTGGCTTATTTCACTTAGCATAATTCTCAAGGTTCATCCATGTTTTTGTGCCACTTCCTTCTTTTTTACAACTGAATAATATTCCATTGTGTGTATATGCCACATTTTCTTTTTTCATGTGACATTTTTGTGATCAAATAACCTACTGAGGGATATAAAGAAAGAACCCAAGGCTTTTAGCCTCTGCTGCTCATCAGGTTTTTCTGGACCTCACCCCCTAAGTCCTGTTCCTCTTGCCCAATTTCTTTTCCATTAGTTTTTCATTTTCTTCTGTATATTTCTCATGATTATAAGTTCTTAGGAATTCCTTAAATGAGTTACATGTTTATTGCTTGTTTCTACCACTAGAAAACAGTTCCATGAGGGCAATATCTTATCTGTTTTATTCACGTCTATATTTTCAGTGCCTAGAACAGTGCCTGGCACAACATATGCAGTCAGGAAATATTTTTTGATGTAAAGAATAAGTAAATCAATACAATCATTATCTCAGTTTTAATTATGAAATGTTTGTTATGGTAATAAGAGATATAGGAAGAAGAAAGGGTGCTCTTTAGCACCGTTAGTTGAGGCAGTTAGGACAATCTTTGGATTTCTAATGGAATAATTCCAATCTAATAATTTATAAGGGGAATTATTGATGTGGAACTCAGGATGTTGTTTTGTAGACTCATTTTTATTATGATTTTTAATATTTACTAAGGGACCAAAAAAGGACATTTTTTTTAAATAAGACAAGTTTGTGAAAAATGCTTGGCATGTAAGTAGGCCTTATATAAATACCAATTTTTCTAACTCTCTAAAAGACCTCTAAAAATGATGCTATCTAACACTGATGCTATATTTTTGGTATGTTACAAAGTTCTCTGATTTGGACAAATCGAAAGAGCACCATTAACAGTATTCTTTTTTTAAAGTACACTTGTTCTAAAGGAAAGGTTGTGTTCTATATTTGCATTCGTATAGGAATGATAAGCAAGTGTAAAACATGTACAGAGCATAAATGTTGCTAATTTATGGATCCTGGTAATTTTAGAGACATGGGAGAAGCCTGATTGAAATGTATGATTTTTGTTGGATATTACAGTAGATACATTCAACTTTTCCCAACAAAATAAGAGAAAGAAGTCAGGAGGCATTATTTTTAGAGGGAAAGGATTCATCCAGGAATCCAAGAAGATAATTATCAGAAGTCCTTAGGACATAATGTGATTTGAAATTGCATTAAAAACTTACAAAGTCTATTTCTGAGTATTGAAATGGAAAAATAGTTATATCTCACTTTAGATTTTTATGTGGTTTAAAATTTTTTCTTGTTTAGGTTGTCCACATCCGGTCCCCATTCTTGTCTTTTCTATCCTCTCGTTATCTCCCTTCAGGGGTTTGTTTTTACTTTCTGCTTTTATCCTTATTAGTGGGGGGAAAAATGGGTCAGTATTACTTTAGTTTGTCTTCACTTTCACTCTGCTGTTCATTCCTGAACCAGCTTTTAGCCTCTGGGAAAGAACAAAGTAAAAATATTTACAGAAACTGGGCCAACCTCTTGGCGCCCCCTCTCCCCAAGAAAACAAAACCTAACCAAGGGCAACGGTAGTTCCTCTCTGTTCTATAGCACCTTGTATTTCCTTTCTCATAAAGTTCAGAATTTTCTTATAACTGCTTACGGAATATCTTTCATCCTAGTTAGACTCTCAGTCCCTTGAGGACCTGGTGTATTGCCAAGAACACAATATAAAGAAATAAAATGAATAAATGCCGCGTGCGTGAATGACTGCTGCACAGCTACCGCCCCCATAATAAAGGAGAAAAGTTGCAAACAACATGCTCAGGTGCGGGCCCTTTGACATCAGCTCTCTAGAAAACCAGTAGAGAACTGCGGCATTGGTGTCTTAATTACATAATTACTTGGATAATTTAAGCAAGAGTTTTGTTTTGTTGGGGGGTGGGAGAAAGATGAAGGGGCTGAATTACCCGCATAATTTCTTTCCCAGTCGCTGTGGAGTGGCCCTACCAAACCATCTCAACCTGCTCACCTCCCTCCCCCCAGAGAGAACAAGGCCCCCACCTCCGGGAGGGGGGTTTCCCGGGGATACCCCGCCCCACCCTCTAGGCCCCGCCCCTGGACCGCCAGCTCCGCCCCGCTGCCGCCGCCAGCAGGGGTCGCGCTGCCCGCGGCGAGCTGCTCAGGCGAGGGTGGGGGAAGCTTCCGCGGCTGGTCGCTTTTTTCCGCTGCTGCTGGTTGGATCGTTTCAATAAAAGTCTTTTTTCTCCGCTCGCTCGCTGTCCTCCGGGGAACAGGCGGAGGCGTCAATCCGCAGCCGCCGAGTGAGAGAGCGACGCACACGCAGCGAACGAAAGCGGCCGCCCGCGGTCTCCTGAGCTCCTCACGGTCCGGCAGCAGAGAAGAAGGAGCCCTCGTCCGAGCGGGCCGCCTCAGCCGGGCGTCGGCACCTCCCTGCCAGCCTCGCTCCCGCCCGGGCTCCTCCGAGGGGATTAGTGGGCTGCCCTCGCGGCTCGGCGGCCCGGGAGCCATGTTGTCCGGGGGGCTTGGCAACGTGTGAGGAACCCGCGGCCCCTCCCGAAGGCTCCGGACCCTAGGCGAGAGCCGGAAGGCGGCAGCGGAGGCCTGCGCCTCGGAGGCGCCTTGGGTCTGCCAGCCGCTGGGACCCGGACCTGCATCCGGTCGCCGCGGGCGTCGGCGGAGCCGCTTACCCTCCGCGCCTCGCCTAGCGACGCGGCCCCCGCACTTGCTGGTGAGCTGGCGGCTGGCGACCGCGCGGGGCTCTTCCCGCTGCCCGGCGGACCCCGGGAGGGTGCTTGGGACGGAGGGTCGGGGCGGGCCGCTGTTGTGGGCGCAGGAGGCTCAGGCCCGGCCGGGAAGTTGAGAGAGGGAGGCGCAGCCAGGGGAGCCCCGAGTGCCTGTCGCCCCCCTGGTCCAGCGCGAGCCCTGGGTCGCCGAGGCATTTCCGGGGGTGGGGTGGGGTGCTGTGTCTGACCGGCTCCTTCGCGGGAGGCCCTGCGGTCGCCGCCGCCTCCGGTGCTTGCTGCCCATTTGGTCTCCGGGGGAGGCCGGTCTCCCCGCGAGGCCCGCGAGGGAAGAGGCAGAAAGTCCCCCGAGACACAAAGATTCCCCTCGGCGGGGGTGGAGCCGCAGGCGCGGGCGGCTGAGGGGAAGGAAGGGCGCGAGTCCGCGGGGAGGTGGGCGAGGAGGCGGTGGCGGCCGCGGCGCTTGCAGCTCCTTGGAGACGCCGGGGGTGTGAGCGGGTGGCGAGCGCCGAGGAGGAGGAGAAGCCCTCGCGTGGGGAGCCGGCCGAGACAAAGATCACCGCAGCCTCCCGCTGGCGGGTCACACCCCTGAGTGTTGGTCAAGGGCTGAGGTGGAGGGAGTGTGGGAAACCCAAAGAGCCGATGGGGAGGGGGGAAGAATGGGGAGCTGCCAAGTATTGTCGTCTCCGTTGCAGTTGCTTTTCTCAGCATTTTTGTGCCCGATGCTTTTGCTCCCCAACTCAGCTGGATAGCTCCGGATTCCCTGCCTCCTGTCACCCCCTCACTGCCACATTGACTCTCTTGTGGTTTTCCCCTCATTCTTTTCACTTTTCACCCACTCCTTTTCGGGTAAGCAGTATTTTGCCTTCAGCTTGGGGGAACGTTTGCTAATGACAGGATGCCTGAGCTTGTTCTGACCCTGAACTGCCTTGAACTCCTCACTCTTCCTCCCACCCTTTCCTTTCTGGGATCTTACAATGTCACATGGCCACTAACAATTAGCTTTTCTTCAAAAATGGCAAAAGCATAGCTGAAATCCGTGGCGCTTCTCCTTTATATTGATTCGTCCACTAAAGACACGTCGTTGGTTATGCTTTATCACCTCTTAGCCAAATAAATTTTCTAGATAACAAAAGTGGCAAATGTTTTTCGAGTCTTGGCTCTTCCTAGGGTCAGCAAAGTGTGTTCCTGGCAGCCAGACCTTCTGTCACTTACCAGGAAATGCTTGACTTAAAGACAGACAATTCTTTCCTCAAACTTCGCTGATTCTTGAGTCTTTGTTGAGGGATTTCTTTTAAAAGGCGCTTGTGTAAGAAGGTCCAAGTAACAAATTTGAGTTACTGTATTTTAGACTTGTTTTGTTAACCATTGGGCAGAAGAAGATGAATGGGATTTTAAGATATTTGATGCCTTGAGTCAACGAAAGCCTCCGTTGAAGCTAGAAATAAGGTTCGATCAAATTTTAAGAAAAAAAATTCGCTAGCAGTAGTATCATTGGTTTTTTGGTTAATGAAGTCATATCAGTCTTTGTAATTCTAACATCTGCATACTTCCATAAACAGCGGTTGTAACAAAAGAAAAAATGTGGCTGTATTTAAGGAATAGTCTTTTTATTGCGGAGAATTTTGGCATATAAAAGCGTTACTCTTTTATCTGGTGGACTGTCTCATAGGCCAGAAACACTAACAGTTTTGAATGCTGGACTTCAAAGAAAATAGCTGTCTTTGAATTTAAGCTGTTTTAAAATACTTTTTACAGTGAAAATAGACATTGAATTTGAATGGAAAGAAATTAAAAGTAAAGCCCGTTTGATATAGCGAAGTTACTATTGATATCATTCTCACAACAATCATATCTTGCTGCCATTAAAATGTTGACGCTATAAAAATTGTAAAAGGGGTTTCAGTCTAGGGACCAGTATCTGAATTGTGGGACTCCCTACCCCACTCTCACCACTTAACACTTTTCAGATATCTTTGTGAAATTAACAGGTCATATCATTAATAATCAGTGTTTTATGTAACAGTTATCAAAAGGCCGAAAGGAAGGTACAATGTTTTTTTCTTTCTACATATTTGTTGGTATTTAATTAGATTATTGAATTTTAATTCTTGGAAGGAAGTCTAAAAAGTTACTGAAGATTTCTGGGTGGTGGTATTTATGGATGAATAAAAATACAGTTCTGTATTTTCCAAATTTTTACATTCATTTTCAATCAGAAAAAAAGTGTATGAAGTATGAAGCCTTGTTAATAACCTAATTTTCCTATTACTAGAAGAAACTAATATAAAATAGTTTATTCTCATCCTTGAACTAAGGCCCAATAAAGTCAGTGTTAGTTATTTGAAATAGTGCAGCCTGCCGGATGTGCTCTGGTTACCTGAAGGGAGAAAGATACATAGTCAGGAAAGATGAAAGTGGAAGAATTGATACCGTGTATGGTAGCTATCCAATATATGGTGGTAGCTTTGTATATCAGTAATCTTGTTCTAATAAGTCATTGGTTTTACAAAAAATGGAAAAAATAAATTTTATTTTCTGTAGTGCAGAATAGTTGTGTTGACTAAACAGATTTTAATATATGTAGTTTTCAGATATTGCTCCAGTTCTATGATTATGGTGGAACGAGAGCTCCACCAAATTATTTTATATAAAGTAATTTACTCTGTTGAGGCTTTTGTTTTTCCCATTATTTTCAGCAATATTTTTCTTCTTTCTCTTTATTTGTGAAATAGTACTAAACAACTGCAACTGTTGTGAGTACTAGAAACTATAATGGCAACTGAGGAAGATATTCAGAAGTGAAGATGATTTCCTTTAATATTAGGAAAAGTTATCTGTGAACAGAAAATATTTTCCCTGCTGTTTTCTTTGTTATTGTCTAATAGTGCTGAGTATTTATAAGGCATTACATTTTGAATCTTTATTACTGTTCTCTAATCTTTATAAAGATTGCAGCATCATGTCATGGCATTTTTTTTTTTTATAGCTTTTATACTTCCACGGAGGATAATTACTTAGCAAATGTGTTGCTGTCTTGTAGAAAAAGGACGTTATATGTTAAATTCAGCTTATAAAAATATTCATTAGGATATTTTATCTATTTTAAAAATTGCCTCCTTTTATATATGTGAAGGAAGACTAGTTTTAGGTTCTTTGAATTTTGAATGTGTAATTTTTGCTTAAACTTTTAAATGGGAAAGTTATTTAAAGTGCATTTTATAAACTGATATGGCATTTTGTGTTTTAAATGACGAAGATAAAATAGGCTTATGGCATTTAAAATTACGCTTTATATAGTACTTGTGACGTTAAAAAATTGCCTAAATAGGAAACTTGGTATAGTTGACTAGCATTCAACCTACAGTGTTGGCAATTTCTTTGAACTGGAGGGAGGACCTTTTTTTTTTTTCATTTTTATGAGATATTTACAATATTAAGCCAAGAATTCTTACCGTCATTAGTGGATTCTTTGTCATTATTTTGGTCCCAGCCTTTTTAGTTGATAGCTACTTTCATATCTGCAAAATACTCACTGGAAAGCGTAATTGCCAGGGGCCAGGAAAATGTATTGAATGTATGTGAGTGTGGCTTACCTTTCCTAGCCTGTTTCCTCTCTCTGTTCACCAACTTTTGGAAAACCAGTAAATAGCTACCAATAAATCTAATGGGGGGGGTGTCTCCTATCAGTAACGTTCTGCAGTAACATATGATAATACTGTATGTGAGGAGGTAGATTTACAAATCCGTGGCATATTGGGATGAATGAAAATTATCTTGCTCTCCAAAGTCTCCTTTTAAAATTATTTTTTGATAAAAGTGTGTGAAAGAAATTAAACTTATTTCTTTTGCTAGGTGTACCATGCCAGGTGTTACTTTGTTAAATCCTCATAGTAAGGCCATCATATAAGTATTGTGCCTATTTTTCAAATAAAGACACAGATGCCTTAGATTAATTATCTTAGGTCCTACCTCTATGGTGAACCTGGGGTTCCAGTTTTGGTGTTCAAACCATTTTATTACAACACTTCCATGGGGATGTGATGTTAAAAAGTTCATGTTAAGTGTCTGCTGTAGCAAGAACTAAAAAGGGGTAAATTAAAAAGCTCATCAAAATTAGATTTAAATTCCATTGAATTAGGTTTACTGCACACACAAAAAATTGATCTATACAAAATGTGTAAGAGAGGACATATTTATAGCTCAAAATGAATTTAAAGGTACTAAAAAGATACTGAAAATGTTTGTAGATTTATTTTTAATCATGGATTTATCAGTCAGTTTGGGCACAAAATAAAATGAATGTAGGTACTGAAAAGCAAAAATAATTATACTGTATATTTACTCTCATTTTTACCATTATGTTTACTTACTCATTTTGATTTTACATGTGTTAAAATTAGTTTGCATTACGCATATGCCATAAAAGAGAAGACAGTCCAGATGCATGTTGCATAGGTTGCTTCACTATTAGGTGAAAATTTTGCCTTAAGGTAGATAAATTTTCTATCTATATCTGTACACATGTAAATACCTATTGTCTTTTGGTTTTGGTATTGTTTAAGGAAAGCATAAATTTTGATCTTGTGTTTTTATTGGTAGCTGTATACCACCAAAAATGGAAATATTAGATCAGATTATATATTTTTGGCAATAATTTTTTACACTGAAAGCCACCCCTTCTGATGAAAATATTGCAGATTAGTGTTGTTGATATATATCCTATCTCTTATTCCATTTGAAGAATAGAAACTTACTGACTTGACCTCAAGGTAGTCCGCTAAAGTGGAAAAACAAAGATTTGCTTTGTTTTGTTGTCATAAAAGTTAATTTAAAAAAGGTTTTTGTCAGTGGGTTTTATTTATTTATTTATTTATTTAATATAGACTTTATATCCAACATGGGGCTGGAACTCACAACCCTGAGATTAAGAGTCACATATTCTGTATCAACTGAGCCACGCTTGTGTCCCTTGTCAACCTTTTAA